TTTGTGTGGAAGCTTTTAATATATTTCTCTATAGATTTATCTTAACAAGTCCCCAACGCAACGTCACGAAATTATTATCATTTGAATGAAATATAATAAAAAGAACCCATGATTTTTTTAGATATGAACGTAAATAAGAACAATATCTCCGTAAAACAAGTATCATGGAATAGTAAGCGAGTTAGTTTTTTATGACACAAAATTTGTATTAACTTCGCATTTGCTTAAAAATGTAATTTTTCTGCGGGTACATAAAAACATGCTTTTAAAAAATTATTCGAGTGGTTTTTTTTAGAATGTACGCGCAATTTTTATTCGAAGGATAGAGGGAACTGTAATTGTTTTGAAAATAATTGATTATGAGTTAGAGAAATATATTTTACAAGATATTTCAAAATACTTTTTTTATATTCGTAAATAATTTTTTTATTTGTAACTATACTTATGAATAAATCGAAGCAGCAAGACAAAGTTGCGTGATATTGAAAATTAAAAAAAAATAACTTTTATAGATTTCATATGTAGTTGGTATGACTATTTTGGAAATCAATGAAATCAATATAGTTTATGTTAGATATAAGCTAGTTGACTTAAAAAAATTCGAAACTTCATTCTACTATATGACTGTTTCTCTAGCAAATCAATGAACTCTATGAAATAAATATTAAGTGAATAAATACTTCTGAAATAAATTATGTATACTTAAATGGCTAAGCAATTCGTCGGTTCAAGGCTTTTATACTTATCATTAGAGAAATTTGATTTAAAATATATATATTGTTGTTAAGAACAGAGATATAAAATACAAATGCATTAAAATTAAAATTTATAACAACAGAAAGTTGAGGATACGATTTAGCTTGTGGAAACATTCAAATATTACGTCCAAAATAGTTTAAACTAGCGGTAGGTGCTCAGCGAAATCTTAGGGTTAAGCTGAAAGATTTACAGGGATTCCAAGAGTTAGGACTTTTTTTAACTATTAATAATTATATATAAATAATTTCTTAATATCATATAAAAAACAATATGAAAAGTATCCGAACAATAAACCATACTTTATTCAATATTTCTGTTGTTTATATAAACTTATTTTTTATAAATGCTATTAAAAAAAAGCAAAATTACAAAAGAAAATATTTTTTCTATAAAAATCTTTTGAATAAATTTTAAAAAAGATAAGCGTTTATTAAAAAATTCGTAATTATTTCTTATCCAGTTTTTCAATATCATATAAATAATAATATAAAAAATATTCGAACAATAATCCATAATTTATTCAATATTTCTGTTGTTTATATAAACTTATTTTTAATAAATGCTATTGAAGAAATAGCAAAATTAAAATTTTTTTTTTCCTATAAAAATCTTTTGGATAAATTTAAAAAAGGATAAGCATTTTTTAAGAAATCCGCAATTATTTCTTATCGAGTTTTTCAATTCGAAATAAAATAACTAACAGTTTTTATAACAGTTCTTATTTTTATTTCAGTCATTTTCAGCATATGCATACACCAAAAACAAATTCATAATATTAAATATTAGATTCTTCACAGAAAATATTTTCAAAATGATTTATTTTCTACGTCTTATTCTTTTATTAGTATATTCACAGCTGTTAAAGAATTCTTTTTTATAATGCCAGCGCTCCAGCAAATGAATGTCGACTATCTAGGGTTCCATAAGCGAAAAAATTGGTAAACTTTACTTAAAAATCAATCAAAGTATTTATAATAGTTAGATACTTTTAAAAGTGTAAATAGTAATATTATACGATCACAATTGCAAAATGTTACTTAATGATTCACATAGAAATATATTTTAAGAATACATTGGGTGTATGCTAATCATGTTGAAATGTGAAGCATAACTAAATCCTAATTTTGAATAAATTAAAAATTTGCATATTTTAGAATGTTACATTAGAATATGCTGAAAAATTTATTTTATTTTAAATAGCTTAAATAATAATGGTTAGACTGTTTGATCTGTGAGGTATTTTTTAATTCTTCATGTGGTTTAGTTACCTTAAGAATTTTTAAAGTAATTTTTACTAAAAAATGTTAAAACATTTTGAAAAATAATAATATTATAAATATATCTCATCTACTTCATTTCAATTTCAACAAGCCAACAAACAAAAAATGTAAAAACAATTCCACAATTAACACCCAACACATAGAAAAATGCTGCCAACATGCCAGCTATCGGTGAATGTTCCATGCTGACATATCCAGGGCCATACATAAAAGCTAAACTACTTAGATGACCATGACTTAACCCGAAGACGGCACCCATAAAAACAACTACCCAATCATTATTAATCAATACTGGAAGTTTCCTGTGATGTGGGTTATAGTTACAAAACATAAAAAAAGGAATCATTACAATTCGAATAACAACTGGTATCCACAAATATTTTGGTCCAGGCCATTGAAGCCAGTTTGGTAAAAAACTACCAAGCATGGAAAAGAAATTAACACTTAAAAAACATACAACAGGAGTGAAGTATTGTTTTGATACTAAAAACTTATCATCCACCTGTTTTATCTCTGCATATATTGCAGGAAAAATTGTAAGAGTGACAAAATATACCATGAATACATTGAAACATTGAGGCCATGTTTTACGCAATATCTGCCACAAAGATGGTTTCTCCGATTTGTCTTCAGCGACAACGGCAGCAGTTTTGGATAACTTATCATAGCATCTATAAAATTTGCTCAATTGTAGAGCTAGTTTTGAATCAATGCATGCCAGCAGCACAACAACTGCACTAATAAAATAATAGATTGCTGCAGTTCTTGGATTGGGTGATGCTGCTATTGAAATTATGAGAATGATTGAAGTAAGTGTTCCGCTGACGTTGGTACCAAAAATAACAGCCATCGAATACTTCATTGGTAATCTTGTTACTAGGCCAAACACGCTATTTATATAAATTCCATTGGCCATGTTTAGTACCACTACAGATGCTATTGTAATATAAAAGAACTCATTGGTCCATGAGGAAGAATCAATCATGGCAAGGATAATTGTCAGAAGAAATATTATGATTTCTATTACAGTAGAGCCTATAATTCGCGTGCCAAATGATTCACTGCCAAATGGAAACAAAATGTTAACGGCGTTAAATATAAGATTTGGCACTTCTGCAGCTATTCCCACATATGTTAAGAAATGTTTTCGGTGATCGGAGTTAGAGTTTTTATCCCTTAGTTTAAAGTCAACATAATAAGATTGAGCTGTAATAAACATATTAAAAGGCATAATGTTACCAACTCCAAGTAATACAAATGTTAGAAAGACAAAATGAAATTTGTCATACACAGATAAGCTTTTAGGTTCTGGTCTATCATGTACACTTTCAATGCTTGAAGTTTCATTTTCCCCCTTGTTACTTCCTTCTAGATACATATCAGTTGTAGACGAGTCATTCAAGCTAGACAAACTTTTAGGTTCTTGGTAATTTTCAATGCTTGAATTACTTTCGTTTTCAACCTTGGTATTTTTTTCTCGATGTGCATCTAAGGCTAATGAGTCATCCAAAGTTTTCGCCTCATTTGAACGGATTTTCGAAGTCATGCCGCTAAAACTATCAACTAAATTTCTAAAAATGTTCCTTATTATCTTCTCAGTCCTTAAATAAAAATCTTGCTTAGCAAGAATACATTACTAAATATGTTTTAACAAATCAAGTATGAGCTAAGCCTCAGCTAAAGTTTCTAGTTAATTGATGTCGGATGTTTTGTGCTTTATGCACGCACAAAAAATTAAGTATTGAATGGATTTTATAAACCTAAGCTTTAAATAACGTGACATATTGATGACTTAGGTATTAAAATTTTTTAAAATGAAAGCATTCTGCATAACTTTTAATAGACGAACTGAGGTACTCAATTTTTAATGGATAGATCCATTTGCTAATATTTTCAAAGATAATTAAAATGACGCAATCGGAGTTTAATGAAAAAATAACGATATTTCGAAAATTAATTTAATTGTTTACATGATAGATAAGGTTTTCAAAAAAACAATTTGTCACTTAACTAAGTTGTATGAAGTAACATGTAAATTTTATGTAGTATTAGTCAGTTATGGAATTAAAAAAAAGCTCCAACAGTTTAAAATTCAGAGAGTTCACTTTTTCGTGGGATGATCATAAGTTTGTATTTTGTTAGGTATTAAGTGTGTTATTGGCTCATTCGAAGAAAAAGTTCTCGTTAACTAAATATGCCTATTTTAAATTACTAAGCATCTAATTGATTTCTAGTTCTAAAGTTTAAGCAGTAATAGCTATAATTGTGCAATTTCAATTATCAATTGTAAGACATTTGAAATTAAAAATATATATAAATAAAAGACAGCTTTATATTTTATATGAAATTTAATTCACAAGTAACCTTTATAGGTAACTGCTTTATCACCTAATGAATAACAAGTAAATATAAAGTATACGTTAAAACTATATTTTTATTAAGTAAATATAGGTATTACGATAGGAAAAAAGTAATTTACCAAAAACGATGTAAAATACATATAATTTTAAATATTAATAACGAATTAAACGCAACAATGAAAAGGAAATTCGTAATAATTATTTTTACAGCAAATATTAAAATTTACGGAAGTAAAGGGGAATATATTGAAATATTTTACAATGATCTCACTGCGAAGTAGATATTTATGAAAACAGTTTGATAGTAATTAAACTTTATGAACTATTTTTAAGGTAATACGTATCAAGAGTTGAATTTCGCTTAAAATAATTCGTAAGTATACATAACATTTTACTCTTCATTTTTAATTATCCGTACTTCTGAAAGCTTTTCTGTTCATACTATATAGACAGTCTTCAAACTGATATAGTAATAACAGTATAAATGTTACATGCAAATACATGTTAGTTCACACCTTGAAACATGCAAGTTACAAGGTGTGAACTAACAATCTAACAAAAATGTAAGGTTTATTTCACTGAATATACCAAAGATTAAAAAAGCAGCTATCATTTTAGCAACTGTTTTATTTTCTTTATTAACATATCCAGGAGTATACATCATAGCAAGACTACTGCAATAACCACTACTTAACCCGAGAACAACAACCATAACAGTGTAAGTATAATAGTTTTTAATCAAAACAGGTAGACTTCTGCTTTCAGGTATATAATTACAAATCATGAAAAATGGAATCATTAGAAATCGTACCACAATTGGTATTCATAGGTGTTTTGGTCCAGGTCATTTAAAGCAACTTAGTAAAAAGCTTCCTCCCATTGCAAGGTAATTGAAACTCAAGAAAAACTTAAAAATAATTAGAAAGTTAAATTAAAAAGTTAGAATAATTAGAAACATAAAAAATATAAAGTACATATAACATTATATTCGTCGTTTTTAACTATGCATATTTCTGAAAGCTTTTCCATTCAAACAATTTAGTCAGTGACATAGTAATAACAATAAAAAACATGCAAGTTACAAAGTTTGAACTAACCATCTGACAAAAAATGTAAAGTTTACTCCACAAAATACACCGAAGACAAGGAAAAAAGCTGCTATCATTCCAGCAACTGTTTTATTTTCTTTACTAACATATCCAGGAGTATACATCATAGCCAGACTACTGCAATAACCACTACTCAACCCGAGAACAGTAACCATAACAGTGTAAGCATAATCATTTTTAATCAAAACAGGTAAGGTTCTGCTTTCAGGTATATAATTGCAAAGCATGAAAAATGGAATCAATAGAAATCGTATCACAATTGGTATCCATAAGTATTTTGGTTCAGGCCATTTAAAGCAACTTGGTAAAAAGCTACCTACCATTGCAAAGAAATTGAAACTCAAGAAACAAGTAATTGCAGTGAAATATTTCGCATCTATAAAAAAACGATAATCGAAAATTTTTGTATTTGCACACATTGCCGGAAATATTGTAAGTGTGACGAAAAATACCATGAATACGTTTAAGCACTGAGGCCAAATCTTGCGAAATGTCTGAAATGGTGAAAGTGTCACCGCTTGTTCCACGTTTTCTGCAGGAAATTTTTTCGATAATTTATCATAATATTGATAAAATTTGTTAAGAGGCAGGGCCAGAAAAGTATCTAAGCAAAACAATAAAACTATCAAAGCCGTTAAGAAGTAATAAATGGCTCCGGTTCTTGGGTGGGTATATGCTGCTATGGAAAGTATGAGAATTGCTGCAGTAAAAGTGCCACTGATGTTTGTGCCCAAAATAACAGCCATTGTGTACTCCATAGGTAACATTGCCGCAAGACCATACACACTGTTTTGGTAAACTCCATTTGCCATGTTTATTATAACAACTGAAGTCATTGTAATACCAAAGAACACACCAACCCACGAAGTTGTATTAACCATAGCGAGAATTATTGTCACGAAAAATATAATAATTTCTATTATTAATGCACCAATTATTCGAATTCCTAATGTGCTACTACCGAACTGAACGAAAATATTCAAGGCATTAAATAATACGTTAGGTATATTGGCTGCTATACCTACATAAATTAAAAAGTTTTTCCTGTTTTGTTCCATTGAGGGATCATTGACATTAAGTTTAAAGTCGACGAAGTAAGAATTAGCAGTAATGAACATATTCCAAGGCATTAAAATGCCTATTCCATGTAATACAAATATCAGAAAGACAAGCTTTAGTTTGTCATGTACTACAGTATTACTACCCTTTTTAATATCATCCCTTACGTTATTTTCTGAGACACTGCCATCGTTTTCGCTGAAATTTTCTTGTTTGTCAGGATGAGTTGCAAGCTTATAGTTTCGTACTGTTTCTGGGTAAGTTGGACTCACAGACTGCAATTCTGTCATGGTGCAAGATCCGCAACTCTTTCACCTCTCAAGTACTTCAAGATGGAATAGAAAAATCTTTATGGCCTACTTTTTGGGATAAATCAATTATCTGATCCACTTTTCAAAGGCTTCTAAAATACATTAAAAATAAACTCCCAGTTAATTTATTTTTTAGACTGTTGTATTTTAAATCTTATGATTTTTAAAAAGTAGTAGTAATATTAAAAAAATTTAAATAAAATATTTTAGTCAAAGAAAAATGCATATTATTGTAAAAATATGTGGGAATCAGACTAACTTATTTCCTTAGATTTTAATTCAACCACTGTTATTAGTTTAAATTTCTTCCATATTAGTTAAATAAAGATAAGTAGGGAATGCTCAATAACGTTTGGAATAAAAAACAACTACTCCTTGAAAACGTTTTTTTGGGGGGTGGGGGTGCAAGGACACTTTTTTTACATAGGTAAGATTTTATCAACAAAACTTCTAATTTTAGATAACTTTTGAAACTTACAATTTGAATATGCAATGAACAAACCGATCTCTTCATTTTTTAAGAGCATAACTCAAAATATGACGAAAATAACACTTCCACATATGAAAAAGAATAGAACTTCCACATTGGTAAAAAGAATAGAGCTTCCACATTGGTAAAAAGAATAGAGCTTGATAAAAATACACAAACCTACAATTAAATATAATAAAGTAGTTGGTAATAATATTTAATAACTGCATGTAACTTTATTATGCTTTATGAAAAGAACTTTATATAAAAATGAAATTTTTGTTAATAAGAATAGTGTTATTATTTTTTTAATTTGTTCCTGAAAAAAGATACAATTACAATTTACTAACTTGCAAAGAAATAACTATAAATAATTGGTTATATACAAATAAACTATGTTAAACTTATAGAAGCAAGCTCCTTAAAAATTAATTAAAGAAAAACTAGAAAAAATTATAAATAAAATAGATATAAAATCTGAATTTAGTCAGAAAGAAATAGAAACTGAACTTTTAGATATCTTTAGTACAAGAAAAGTAACTAAGCATAAAAAATAATTTTTTTGAATTATAATTGATGTAAAATCAATAAAAGTACACATTTATAATCAAGTAAATTGAAATTAACATTTCCAACTCTTTATGAAAAAAGTTTTAATATTGTGAGAACTTTCGTTGTAAAAATGTAACAAAAATATAATTTAGTTTTTAATTAAATAAGCCCTTAAACAATTTATTAATTATTTTATCTAATTCTATTTGTAACAAAAAATAAAATAATTATGTTCCATTTAAATTAAGTTCCATTTAAAACGTGATTCAGATTTATTATTTTTAAATGTATAAGGATTTCGAAGCTATGGAATTAAACTTTTATCTTGAACATTGATTAGTCAAATTAATTCCTTTATATTTGCTTTATTTTTTATTATTCATTTAAACTCTTTTGAATTTTGGTTTATCTAGCTTACTTCTTGATATAATTGTTGTTTTTTCCTGTTAACTAATTAATAAATAAATTTAAGATATTATTTTTATTTAACAATACTTGCAAGGTAAACTTAAGATTTACATAAAACTTTAAAAAAGAATAATTATTCAGTATTCTAAAAGATTCTGCCATCTATAAACTATCATACAAAGCACAATAATCTACTCAAATTCTCCCATAAACGTTTTAATTAAAATAAAAATGAATGCGGAATTTCTAAATGAAAAAATAATTTAAATTACTTTCTATATAATGCAATACATACTTAAGTCATTTGTTATCTTTCAGAAAATTCTATTGCACAATATCATGCAGTCTTTCGGTGGAAAAGTTCTAAATATTATGTTTAAAGTTGCCGTTTTTTAAAAAACAAACTTTTATTTCAGACGATTTTTTTCAATTTTTTAAATTAAACTCATGATTATATTTTTGAATTATCTTTCAAGGTAAATTCTCGAAAATGTAATGTTGATGCATTTTAATTAACTTATATTTATAAAAAATGAAAAAAGCGGATCAAAAGTTTTTGTAAAATGCATAATGTACTTTAATCAAATCTATTCAACCTTTGCATTTTGTAGAATATATTGAAAAATATCGTATATGGAAATATAAAACTGAAAACGAATTAAAAAATACTTTTTTTTCTGACCGTTTAATATTGAAAGCACAAACGATTACACTTAACGTCATCAGGATCCTTTAATATTCACGTTTTATCTCGCCCAACAGGCCACAGTTTCCTCGATCAACAGGAAACCAGGAAATGGTAAGAAGATCCCGTAGATTTCAAAAGTTGACACTCTACGGTTTATAGTTTAATATCTCTGTAAAATTTTGGTTTACTTCTCTAAGATAAATATTATTCGTTATAAAAAGAACGAATAATATTTTACTATGATATAGTTTTCAAGTTATGTTTCTTTGTTGCTTTATTTCAATAACATTTGTTGAATCAAGACAAGATTGCGTACATTTTTGTTTGTCTTTGAAACTTTCAATCATACTGTGCCTATGTGTGGAAGCAATTTTTTTTTATCACTTTCACTTCTTTTATCTTAGACTTCAGCTCGATTATTCGTAAAAAAAAAATCTGTTTCATTTTTATTTACACCTGCTCAATTTTTTCCTCTTCCGTTATCTTCTTCCTGCACTTCAAGAAGAAGAAGAATATCACGGACACCCACACACGTGACCTATGACGTTAGCGCCAGCTGATCGTTTGTAAGCAAAATGAGTGTTATAGTCGAGTTAATTTCTCTACATAAGTTGCAATGTTAATTAATGTGAAGTTATTAAAATGCAGTGCAGTATTACACATCGAATTTGCTCGAAATATAATTGCCTACGTCTTTTACTTAACTTGATTTAATCAAAACTCATAAATCATAAATTCAAAAACAACAAATCATAAATTCAAAAACCAATCGTTCGAGATACCCATACTACGTCACTTGCAGGTATTCGCGATCGCAACGAACTATAGGGGGCGTTGTTGTATGAGACGCTTACCTGTGATTTCTACATGATCCGTCATTCAGTTACTCTAGAGACGTCGTTAATGTAGCATGTAGCATTGCAACGTTCCTTCTTTATTGTGACTAATTAAATTTAAAAAAGAAAAATGCTTGATATTCTTTCTTATGCAAACGAAAACAAAATGGTATCTTCACCAGCAGTCATTCGAATATCCAAAACACATCG